TCTCTCTCTCTCTGAAAAAAAAAAAAAATCAGCGTAGTGAAATGGTTGGCTGTCTCTTACTGTTGACTTTGAACCTGTTTTTTTGATCTTGTGGAATGAGAGGGGAACAGAGATGTGCAGGAGGGGTCTGGGGGGAGGCAGCAGAAGTCGGGGTCGCCAAGGCCACCGGGCAGGTCTGGCCGGATATTGCTGGCGTGTCTGGGAAGAAGTAACAGATGGAAAGCGTGTGAAATCTGCGAAAAGCTCAGAGGAGGTGTTTCCTGATTGAGATCTAGCTGGCAAGTTTCTCGTCTTTCAGTTCATTCTAAAATTCTGCCATTGTTTTAGCGTCTTCTTTTTCTTAGTGATTTTTTTTGGCAGACTTGCTGTTCTGGTCTGTTGATCAGTCTATTTTGGTTTTTACTACCAAATGGCTTTAATTACTGACTTAAAAAAATGATTTTAGCATCTGTTGTGCAAGTCCCCTTCCTTATTCTCATTCAAAACTTTTTCTGGATTTTCTCGTACATTTAATAACAGGGAGGCACCTAAGGCTCATCTTCCAAAACCTTTATTCTTTCCCCTTCAAAAAAAAAAAAAGACCCTTGTGAATTTTATTGTGATGATGTGAACTTGACAGAATCATTCAGGGGAGGCTGAAAAAAAAATGGTATCTTGCCATCCAGAAAAAATGGTGTGATTCTCCACTTTTTCAAAGATACATGGTTTCCTGGTGATGATTAACAGTTTTATTCTATGGATCTGGAAGATTTTTGGTTACCTTTTCTCCTAGCCATTTGTGATTGTGAACAAGGTATTGTTTCCTATTATTTTTTTTTCAGTAAGTAATTTTTGACATGTAGGAAGGCTATTAAAGATTTGCTTATTTATTTTGGAATGAGTCTCCTTACTGAATTCTTTTATTCTCTCTCTCCTTTTTTAAATTGTGCCATGGAAGTTTCCTCTGTTTCTTATTTATTTAACTCCTTTCTTTTCCTCCTACTTCTTTTTTTAGTTTTTCTAATCAGAAATGGATGTTGAATTTGCCAGAAGACTTTCTAGCAGCTAGGGAAATGGCATGTTTCCTTTTGATCTGTGATGTATTAGGAAAATGATATATTATATAAATGATCTTAATATTTAGTCGTCCTCTGTTCTTTGGTCATGGCACATTATTCTGTTAACGTGCTGCTGGATCTCATTTACGTTCAAGGCCATCTGAATCCTAAACATTTGTTATCTCTTGGTAACATTTTCAGTGTCAGCAAATCTCTGAAACTTTGTGTCCCTGTGAGGTTCCTGCCTCCTCAGTCCTGCTCCACAGAAGGCACTTGGGTGGTCTTAGGGGACCAAACTCAGTCATCACTGCAGATCTCCCACCAGCTGGGTAGCGGAGGGCACATGATATCTGTGGAGTCGTAGGGTCAAAGGGAACATCGTGGACTTCCTCTCCAGGAAGGCTCTGGATGGTCAGCGGCCGACAGGGAGATGCCCAGAACCTGGGTGGGAGAGATGGTGTCTGAGTTGCTCTGGACATTTGCTGAGGGGGGGTGGTGCTCACGTATTGGCACCAGGATCCTGCCTCTCCTTTTACAGAGATGGAACGCAGTGCCTAAAGAATATAAAAATTATTTTAACAAAGCAGTTTGAAGAGGTGCTCAATTATCGATCGGCCTTCCCTGGGGAACGCTCCTGTCTCTCTCTTTGTCTGAGTCTGGAACTCATCTGCGGGGGGAGGGGTGGAGAAGTTTAGAAGCTCCTGCCGTGTGGGGAAGGTGGGCCTCAGTATAAATAAGCCCCAGCATGGCCAACCCCAGAAATGTGTTATTTATGCAAAGTGGCTTTTGGGCATTCAAGTCCAGTAATCAGCTGGCTCGAAGTCGCCCCCTGGGATGCGGATAAGGGTTTGTACTGTTTGCCCAGGAGGATGATACCAATGAAGACCTTAGTTTACGGGCATGGGCCCAAATGCATTCTAGACCAGGGCCTGGCGACTTTTCCTGTGAGGGCCAGCTAGGGTCTTGGCTTTGGCCCAGTGCCAAGCACCCACCCCCACCTTTCTGCTTGGCAAAGACCATTCTAATGTGGCGATCCCTGCAGAACAGTGGGGGTGGGGGGTGGATTTGGCCCCCCGGGCACAGTTGGCCAATCCCTTCTCTAGATGATCCGGAAGACATGGGATGTTCTCGCAGCTTCTGAGCGACTAGTGAGGAAGCCAAGATGCAAATCGTTTCCCACTGGGACTCTTCTTGGCCCGAGTGCGGTGCTGAGCTCCCGAGGAAGGGAGAGAGGTCCACCTGCTGGAGAGGCCGGCTCCCCCTGCTCGAAAGCATCCGGCATGTCCCTCCCTTCAACAGGAGTGGTTGATTCCTTCCGGGCGGAACCTCAGAGAACAACATTTGATGCGTTGAAATGGATGCTGTGGCTTTTGCCCGTTTGACTAGTTACGTCAGCATTTTGAGATCCTCCAGTGACAGTGATTTGGATGGTGGCATTTGTTCTGTCACAACGTAACAGACGGACCTCTGGCAAGTTCTCAGCCTGGACTTCGTGAATCCGGAGTGTGCCCGCCACCCTCCCCTCTTTCAGCGCAGGGGCCTACGGTGCCGTTTGAAGAGCCAGCGGGGACCCGCGAGGACAGGTAAAGATGTTGGTGGTGGCCTCAGAGCAGCCTGACCCGCATCTGGAAGAAACTGCAAGCTAGCTGCCGAGTTCACTCCGCTCCACTCTCGTACAACACAGTCCTGTTTTCCACCTAAAAAAAAAAAAACATCTGCGTAGAATGGACAGAATTGACATGAGAATCAGCCAAACAACCATCTTCCGTGCCTCGTGGAGGAGTTTATGTGTTATAGATGTTCAAGAAGCATGAATTCCCTTCCTGCAAAGACGGCTGGCTCCCTGGGGCTGGGCTTATAGGTGCTGAAGGGGCACCTGCCGCCGACACCGGTCCTGCACGGAATCCAGGACCCGGGGTGTCCCGTTCATGAGCAGGCTCCGACACGAGCAAAGCCAAGCTTTTGTAACCAAAGCCATAGCCGTGTAGGTTAGTGTTTTGCCCGTGTGTGTGATCGTTTCTTGGCTAAAGGTATTTAAGCCTTAGATCGTAGCGTGCAAGAATGAGGTCTCACAACAGACAGACCCGGGTCCCCTGCCTGGTCACCTCATCCAGGTCTGGCCTGCGAAGTGTTTACCCAGAATTGGGAGAATTGAATGCAAACCCAGTCAGAATTTGCTTATAGATTTCAAAGACTGATTGCTGCTTCTTTGGCTCTCAGGGCGGCAGGGGGGTGGGGGGGTGGTGGTGGTGATTTGATATCAGCAATACAAGTATCTGCGATGGTTGAACTTCCCAAATGGTAAAACGCTTCATCGTTTTCTTTAATGAAGTAGTCCAACCAAATCCTTTGGAGACACAGCATAGCTCAGAACCTTTCCTGCTTTACTCTGGGAGGTGGTATTATGTGGTAATGAGGCAGACAGACGCTGGGCAGGACCGCAGGGCCCAAGGCCTGGCCTTATCATTTCCTAGTTGGGAAATTCAGACAATATTCCTATGCCTGCTATACCTCAGTTCTCTGATCCGTCCGTCGTAGACGAAAGTAGGACTTTTATCCCATGGAGAGTTGTTTGCAGATTACGTCGTTAGTAGAAGTAGGCTGCTTCGAGCAGCGTCTGGTGCACAGCGTTAGCTGTGTTATGGTTGGTTTGATCTGTAGCTGATAAATCAGTGGCACAATGAGACGTTCTTCTGACCAGTGGATGTTTTTTCTAATTACGTGAATAATTCATGCCCATGGCGTAATGCTTAGGAAGGGAACAAAAGAGAATAGAGAACATTCACGATGTGGGCTGGAGAGCACCACTGTGAATGGCGGATTTATTTCTCCCTGTGAGTTGTGATTCACGTAGTAAGATGATGTGGTAAGTGTGAGTTTGAGCCTAATTATTTCATGTGTTATAAGCCTTTCCCCAAAGTATAAAAATGATTAGTAATCATTAGTTTGAACGGCCACGTAATGCAGTCCTATTGATTAACCATGATGGGTGATTCATTTTCTTAGTGTTGAGCATTTTCGTTGTCCCATTCTGTTGAGGTGGGAGGTTGGGGAAGCTGGTTTTTTCAGGGTTGTGGCAAACAGCCATGCGTGTATATCCTTTGATATATTTTCTTTTCTCAGTACCTCCATAGTCTTAGGTTAAATTTCCAGAAGTCAAGTCATTGGATCAAAGGGATGAACATTTCTTTTTTAATGTTTTATTTTTGAGAGAGAGGGAGACAGAGCATGAGCAGGGGAGGGGCAGAGAGAGAGGGAGACACAGAATCCGAAGCGGGCTCCAGGCTCTGAGCTGTCAACACAAAGCCCAACGTGGGACTTGAACTCATGGACCGTGAGATCATGACCCGAGCCAAAGTTGGCGGCTTAACCGACTAAGCCACTTAGGTGCCCCTAAGGGATGGTTGAACTTCCCAATTGGTAAAATGCTTCATTGTTTTCTTTAATTAAGTTGTCCAACCAAATCCTTTGGAGATAGAGCATCCCCTAAGGGATGAACATTTCTAAGGCCCTTGATAAATATGAACAAACTTCCTTCCCAGACTGTTTACAATTAAACTCCCGTTAGCAACATATGAGGAGCAAATTGTTCCTAAGAGAGTCGATACCTTCGCCTCTTTGTGACTAACACAATAACAGACCAACGACAGAAGGGAATCCTTGAAAGGTCTTGAAGTAAAAAGCTTTTTACAAGTTCCCTGGACAGTATTTTTTGTGCGCTAAAACCCCAAGCCCCAGACCCCAAGGCCGTAGACACAATTCTGGCCCAGCCCCAACTGAAGAGTGCCCGATGCTGAGCTGTCCTGGCCCCAGTCTCGGCACGGATTCTCCTCCCTGCCTGGACTTAAGCTATCATTTAAGCTATATCACAGTCATGCCTCGTTATCAATGCCACCGTGTTTGGCAATCAAATGAGGAGGCGCGTGGCAGGCTGAGGCTTGACCTTGTCTCCCCTCCTACCAGCTACACCGTGGGCACCGTCCAGGAGAACAACGACCAGGTCTGGAAGTTCCAGAGATACTTCCTGGTGCAAGAGTACTGCAACCGTCTGAACATCCCCTTCCCCTTCGTGGTCTTTGCCTACTTCTACATGGTGGTGAAGAAGTGTTTCCAGTGCTGCTGTAAGAGGAAAAACACGGAGACTTCTCCTTGCTGTGAGTCATTGTCCGTTCCGTGCCCGGGAACAGGAGCAGTGATCAGTCGTGGGGGACGCGCGCCATGTCCGCTCAGGGCAGCGGGAAGGGGCTTCTTTGTAGTCACGGCCTCGCTCCCATGCGTATGTCCGTAGAGACAGGGAATTACCCGAGGGAGAGAGTAGGTTAAGGGAGCGTTGCAGATCTGTGGGCTGGTCTCATTCTGGGGGGATAACTTTCGGGTGAGCATCATAATCGTGCAAATAGTAGGTTGAACAAGTGGGACGCGCAGGACAGTGTCAAGACGCGACTTCGGTTTTGCCTCCGTGAGATGTCGACTCTGGTAGACGTTAGCCCCGCCCCAGCAGAGCTCCTGACTTTCCTGGTCGCTCTGAGCGAAATCGAAAATCTTATCATTACTTCACTGCACGTACGGTCTGGTCTGTTCACCAGCCCATTGATGGCCATGCGGGCGGGAGGCTCCCCTTTTTGCTGTGCCCCCCTCAGCGGGTAGAGCTGGAAGGAAGTGTGGGCCGCTGGCTTCTGCCTCTCTCTTCGCCCCTTCTCTCCCACCCGCCAGCTGCCGTCACGGACCCTCTGTGGGTTGGAGCACCGGGAGGGAGGAGGGGAAAGAAGCAGGAAGTCTTTTCTGGAAACAGTGGTGCTGTTCTAGGCCGGCTCCGTGCTCTCTGACCTGGTGTGTGTGCACAAACTGATCCTTTATTGTGTGGGCACCTGGTGGGTCCTTCAGCTGTTCCCTGGCTGGCCCCTCGACTCCCAGGGCTTGCCGGTACTTTCTCCAGTGCTGCTTCCCCTTAACCTCTAGTCCACACCACGCAGACTCTCCCTGATGGGGACCCATTTCCTTCCAGAAGGCAGGGATGCCCACAGCTCTCCTTTTCCCGTGGCTACCCACCTCCTTAGCCCCGATAAGGGGTAAGGAGCAGGAGGGTCCCCACTGGGCTCCCTCTCCTTCCCCCGCCGCTGTGGGAGCCAGAATCTATCATCAGGGAATTCTCAGTCACCCTGGGGGGACCCCCTCCCCCGGTACAGCTCTCTTCCCTGCACTAGGCTGGGTTTTCTTAACACTTGATCCTGGGGCCACGGACCCAGACAGATCTTCCTAGCTTGCAGACACGTTTCGACCAAATTAAGCAGGAAAGGAGGGAGAGGCTTATTGTTATTCATTTGGGTGTTTGGGCTCAGAGAAAAAGATAGAAAGGGCACCGCCAGCCCATTCATTTTGCCTTCTGACCTCAGATTTAAGCCAGGGTATCTGGCTCTGGGGGAGGCCTGCAGGCTGACCTCTTCATCACGCATGGCACCAGGGCTCGTGTGTTTCGGAGCTGTGAGAGGCTTTATATTTCTTTTATTTATTTTTTAAGTTTATTTATTTATTTTGAGAGAGCACAGGCAGGGGAAGGCAGAGAGATGAGGAGAGAGAGAATCCCAAGCAGGCTCCACGCTGTCAGCGCAGAGCCTGACGTGGGACTCGAACTCACGAACCGTGAGATCCCGACTGGAGCTGAAATCAAGAGTCAGACACTTAACCGACTGGGCCACCCAGGCATCCCATAAATTTCTTTTAAAAATCATCAGGAAAAGCATGAACTTTTCGGTCACAAACTTTAAGTCAAGGAAAGCAAAGCACAAAAAGGGATACACCCTATGGCGCACAGAGAAGAAACAGTGTAAAAACAGTCATATTGCTCAAAGCCTTCCTTCCTTCACAAATACTAACTCTGTTCTGGGGGTACCAGTTCCGAACAGAGGCATGCGGGGGCCGGGCTGCTTGGCCCATAGTTTTGCCTACATGGTTCCAGAGAAAGAACCGTGGATAAAAATTTCAGGGAGGAAGATTTTGAGTTGGTAAAAGTTTAAGACGGTGTCCAACAAATCACATTATCAGGAAATGAAATGAATAGCTGTGTGAGGTCGTGAATCCCCATCACTGGTTGGATTCCGGCTGGGGCTGGGTAGGTGGATTTGGAATGAAGATCCACTCTCCACACGTACCCTGTGCTCTGTCCAAGATCAGTGGAACCAGAAAATCCAGTGTATCATTAAGGACAAATCAGTCTTCTGAATTTGGATGGGTTTGACGACACAATGCATTCTATTCCCCCCAAACTTAGTCAACAAGTAAGCACGCTAAGAACATAAAAATGGGAGCAAATCCCCCAACTTGGCCATCAAATGGGCAGGACTTCAGCTTCAGGAGGCAAACAGGTCAGAAATGAGCTATGTGAATCTGCACCGGTTTCCTTGGGAGAATGATGCTCTTACAACTATTTGAGAAAAAGATGACATTCTCTCTCCCCATATAGTTCTTAGTCTCAGGGAGGAATAAAGAAATAGAGGGAATAGGGGGGCACAGCGGGACAGGTCCTTCTCCATGCCGGGCACAGTGATGGCGGGAGAGGGCGAGCCGAGAGCCCCGTTTACTCGCTGGAGACTTCTGGACACCCTGCTCGCCATTCATTCATTTGTCGCTGCTTGGAGATCACGGATTCCAGAAACCGCAGCACTCGGTGGTTGCCAGAGCCTCTCGTGCTAATTCGTTTCCCAAATTCACCTTGCACTTGCCTCCAAGTCACCGGGACGTCATGGGATTTAAGCTCAAAACTGTCCTTTGGAGAAAAATGCCAAGATTTTTCAAACAACTTTTCAGATAAGGTAGAATCCAACCTTCCATTAAAAAATTTTTTTAATGTTGGGGCGCCTGGGTGGCGCAGTCGGTTAAGCGTCCGACTTCAGCCAGGTCACGATCTCGCGGTCCGTGAGTTCGAGCCCCGCGTCGGGCTCTGGGCTGATGGCTCGGAGCCTGGAGCCTGTTTCCGATTCTGTGTCTCCCTCTCTCTCTGCCCCTCCCCCGTTCATGCTCTGTCTCTCTCTGTCCCAAAAATAAATAAACGTTGAAAAAAAAAATTTTTTTTTAATGTTTATTTTGAGAGAGAGAGAGAGAGAGAGAGAGAGAAAGAGAACAAGTGGGGGAGGGGTAGAGAGAGAGGGAGACACAGAATCCGAAGCGGGCTCCAGGCTCTGAGCTGTTAGCACAGGGCCCGACGCGGGGCTCGAACTCACGGACCGCGAGATCATGACCTGAGCCGAAGTCGGACGCTCAGCCGACTGAGCCCCCCAGGCGTCCCCCAGGCTTCCGTTTTTGCTACTTTTTGGTGACATCATAAAGTAACAATGACAAAGTATGCCGCCCCTTCCCAGTAATTGCACTGTTAGGAAATATATTGCTTTCCATGAGAAAAAACCAATCCATATTCGTTATGGAACATTTGAAAAATACAGAAAAACGTAAATAAGAAAGAGCGAGGACACACGTAAGCCACCACTCAGATATTGTTAACATAATGGTATCTATTCTATTAGTTTCGTGTGGGTGTATGATAATTAGGTTGTTCTGTACAGACACATTCATAACCTTATTTGTTCATTTAGTTAATAATACATCATGCACATTTTCCATACACATAAATATCAACCTGTACGACAGTTTTGAACTGTAGACTCTCCCAGCCTACGGATGCGCCACATTCAACGTCACCAATCCCTCGCTGTTACACACGTAGAGGGTTTCGGTGCTTTCCGTGTCCTGCGGCATGACGATAAATAGCTATATGCCTTCATTTTTTAGCGCACCGCTGATTTTTTTTCCCTTGGAGTTATTTCTAAGAGAGAAATTTCTAGATAAAGGGTACTTACAGGTTTAAATCTTTTCATATTGTCTGCCACCCTCCTCCACCTTCTCCATCATGTGCTGCAGCTGTAACAATTTACAGATCTTTTTCCCCAACTTACAGGACACCTGCTCATCCACATCTTTGCCAGCACAGGCCATAGTTATTACTGTAGACCTTGCTAATTTTCCACGTTGGGTGGTGAAAGTGCCATGCCATCATCTCAACGGCATTATTTCGACTGCTAAACAACTTGCCATTCTGTCTTGGTCACTGTCGTTCGTGACCGTCGCTCATTTGTCACTGTCACTCTTTGGCCATCTGTGTCCAGGAGTGTGTGTTGTTCCTTTCCGTGTTGGTTGTTCAGTGCTCTCACTGGGTTTCTACATGCATCGCGGTTTGAGCAGAAGACATTGGCAACCACTTTGCTAGGAAAAATCCAATGGAAAAAAATCCAGTTAGGAATTATTTTCTATAAACCGGCATTTGCTATATAGGATTTGCTGAAATCCGTGACTTGCCTATCGGCTCTGCTTTTGATTCCCGATTAATTCTTTTTAAATCCAGGAAGATCTTACACTTTAAAGGCAATTTAAAAATAAAACTAGATTTTTTTTTTTTCCCGCAAGTGGATGCCTTCCTGAACCTAGGTGCTTTTCTCCCCCCACGAGTTCATACGGAGGATTGCTGTCCGTTGTGCCATTACCTGAAACGCAGGCGCCTTGTTGATCTTTGATATTGTTTGCTTGCCTTCTGAGAGGCCCAGGTACTGTAAGAAATTGAACTGAGAATCTTGCTGGAACATGCCCCAGGCCAGTTTTACAGCAGGCCCTGCCTTAGATGAAAGGAAAACGACTGAGTGGAAGAATTTTCCTTGAGGTCCACACCCAGACGGCGTATTATTTCACAAGGGTAGGAATGATGTCCGGGCTTTATTGTCCTCTCTTCCAAAGTCCCTACGCCCCTTTTAGGTTGAGAGAGTAGCGATCCGTCCGTAATTATCCAACCGAGTGGTTGACATAGCCTTTTTATGTCATCAAAATGAGAGAGGAGCACACATAAAACGTGAGGACAGAATTCATTGGTGAAATGATTTTACTAAGTCACAAAAACACCCAGGCAGGCTTTTGATTGATTTCTGTTTAGAATAAAGATTGCATTCCTATTTCACTCAGACAGCTCCAATTCTTCATTGTTACCAAGAAATTCATTAGCATTCCATCGCTTTGCGGCTGTTACTAGCAAGTAACGTTACTCACATCAGCCTGTGCGGGACGAATTTAAATCTTCCGGGTCCAGGGTATCACCAAATGACGAGCAGGTGTTGATTTAGGAGGTAAGGGGCAGAAGAAACAGTGTGATTTTTTTTTTTTTTTTTTTTTTTTTTTTTTTTTTTTTTGGTCTCATTATTCAAGGTTTCAAAAACGAAGACAACGAGACTCTGGCCTGGGAGGGTGTCATGAAAGAAAATTACCTCGTCAAGATCAACACGAAAGCCAATGACACCTCAGAGGAGTATGTCAGTCGTTCGCTTCTGCTTTGCACGGCCCCCCCTTGCGTACATTAAGTTTGCAGAACATAAGTAGCTTCTTTGAGTAAGCTCTGGGAAGAGAATTTACAGCAGGAAGAAAAAGCACCAAAAAGGTATTACCTGGGCAATTGAAGATGAGAAACACGTGAGTGTGTATCAGCCTTTCCAGAAGGGCAGGACCACCCACTTGCCACCCCGATTGCCCTCCGAGGCCCCAGGGAGGGAAGAGGTACTGGAGGCTGCAGGGCGGGGCCTGGGAACCAGGTGACAAGAGCGCAGGTCGCTCTGCCATGGCCGCAGAGGTGGATTCTGGGAAGACCCACCCACCCATCTCGGGCAATTGGCATCGTCTCACAGGTGACGCACACCTGTCTCTGTGATGAAGAACTAGAACGGGAGACCATTTGGTGGGTCCGTTACGGGCTGTCCTTGAGAAGTCCTGAAGCTCAGTTATGAGTTGCATGGAGTCATTGTAAACATGCCATAGAATGAGATACGTCACAGCTAAATCCGTAGACAGTCCCCAAGTAAAGGGCATGCAGGGCCTCTAGGAGCGGTCCCCTTCTCATTATGCGGGTTAACGTGGCTAACGGTCCGATGATGTCACTCTTCCTGAGAGCTCCAAACATGGCTCAAAATTCACTCTAACGAAGAAAGAGTAAATAGAAGCACAACCAATCCCTTTGCCGAGTTCAACCCAGCTATTACGTGGGATGGATGGCATGCTCTTTCTCTGAGTGACAAGGCAGATGCCCTAAGGTCTTCTCCGCTCCTGGTCTCCGAGATCTTGATTCTGGAACGGGGGTGGGTGGGGGGGTGGACCTTACAGGTCAGATTCCGCCACTCCGCCAGTGGAGATAGCATGTGTATGCTGTACCTCTGACGGGGGTGAGTGTGGGATCCCGCTTCGTGTGGGTATCGGCGAGAGGACGTAGCTGACACGGATTTAGCTGAAAATGAAAACGATCGGCGTTTTGTTCTTTAAAAGACTGTAAAATGGAGTCTAATAGCCTTTTCTCTCCCCCCTGCCCTTCTCTTGTTCTCTCTCTCTCTCTTTTAACTTCTTTGAAGAATGAGGCATCGGTTTAGACAGCTGGATACAAAGGTATAGTTCTGATGATAGTTTGGGAAACATTATTTTTTTTTAAATCTGTGTTGTCTTTGATCTTTCAGCAGGAGGCCAGTGGTTGTGGTCTGAAAACAAAAGAAGTCAATTATTAAAAAAAAAGAGGAAAAGATAGAAGTGACCCTGTTCCGTGTTCGTTCAGTGTGCAAGGTCTGGGGGCTGGAACGGAGTGACTTCTCAGATAGCCCCCTGTGTGCTAAAGTCCTATTTCCCGACCTTTGAACTGTCTCCTGTGTCTGTCTGACCCAGGGCCCCCTCTGCGCTTTCTCTCAGCTGCGAAAGCAGGTGTAAGATGCCTGCAGTTACAGAAACACCAGCGAGGCTCAGAAGAGTGATTTGGGAGGCTGTGAGCCTCTGTGCTCGTCCTCGATGCTGCTCTAATTTGTTAGCTATTTAATTGGAAGGGCATTGCGAATGCACGAAGACACACGTGAGCATTAGGCGTGGGGAGAGTGTGCCCACATCCGCCCTGAGCTGGGTGGCCGGAAATTGTGACTTAGGATTAGCAGACATTACAACTGATTCATAAGTACCGGATCCCTGGTAGGCTCTGTGGGGGAAATGACACCTGGTGTTTTATCACGGTATTTTGAGAACGGCATGCTGGATGACGGCAGTCACATTCTGCCCCAGGGCCATGCCGTGTGGTGGCTAGACGGTACCCCATCGAGTAAGGCAGACTCTCCAGCACCCTGCCTGGACCGCTAGGGTCTCAATGAATGTTTATTGAGTGAAGAAATGACCAAAAGCTACCCCCTCATAGAGCTCTTACATGAGAAGTTATCCAATTCAAATTTTGGGGGTTATTTATGTGTTATTTACCACCAGAATTTTTTTTTTTTAAGTTTATTAAATTTGAGAGAAAGAGAGAGACAGAGAGCACCTGAGCAGGGGAGGGGTAGAGAGAGAGGGAGAGAGAGAATCCCAAGCAGGCTCCACGCTGTCAGTGCAGAACCCAGCCCGGGGCTCAATCTCACGAACCATGAGATCGTGACCTGAGCCAAAATCAAGAGTCAGGTGCTTAACTGACTGGGCCACCCGGGCGCCCCTGATGCGAGGCAGGTCACCTGCCTGACAGGTCCTGACTGGACGGTGTGTCTGTGTCTGGTCCCCCAGAGTAGCTCTTGTCTTCCTTCGGAATCTTCATCTTCCCTTTCTCTGGAACTGCCAGCTGTGAACATTGGAGTCGACTACTCCGGATGATGGTCTGTTTTGTGCGGACAATCAAATGCTTCCATCACAATTTGCTTTAGTTACCTACTGCTGCGTAACAAACACCCCCCCACCCTTCAGTGGCTCCCAATAGCCATTTTGTTTGGCTCTTGTTTTTTTGTGGGTCAAGAGTCTGGGGGCTCATCAGCCGGGCGGTTCCGCTTCCTGTGGGCGCGGCTGGATTTATCGGGCTGGATTCAGTGGGTGGCGAGGCCAGGATTTGGCACCCCTATGCTCCTCCATGTGGCTTCTCTCCCACGTGTGACGTCTGATCCCGGTGGCTTGGGCTTGTCGCCGCACGGTGGTCTTGGGGCTGTCCCCTTGGTCCACAGTTGCTGGCTTCCAAGAGCGAGGAAGCAAAGACTGGCAATGCTCCGGAAGGCTAGGCCTCCACCTGGCATGATGTCATTTCCACCAGAGTCTATTGATCAAAGCGGTCAAGGCTGGCCCAGATTCCGTGACCCACCTCTTGAGGTGAGAGCGGCACTTGCGTGCAGGCCAAAAGGAACTGGTGGTGGCCGCCATCTTTGTTGGACACGCTATCGCACGATGGTGTATTTTGTTACAGCTGCTCTCCTTCTGAAGTTGTGTTGTTTGTTGTTAATTGAGGGGCTGGGAAGATTCCTGTTTCCTTGGACTTGAGGGCTGTGCATGGGTGATCGTGCGAAGATGTGTATCAGGATTATAATCAATGGGGAGGGAAGAGAAAAGTGCTGGACATTTTTTTTAAGGTTTATTTTGAGAGAGAGACATCGTCAGCAGGGGAGGGGCAGAGAGAGAAGGAGAGCGAGAGAATCCCCAGCAGCTTCCACACTGTTAGCATGGAGCCAGACGCTGGGCTCGGACTCACGAACCACGAGATCGTGACCTGAGCCGAAACCGAGAGTCGGATGCTTAACCAACTGAGCCACCCAGGTGCCCTGCTGGATATTTTTTAAAGACTACAGACAATTTAGGGAATTTTAAGAGAATACATGAAAGGAGCAGCAGGGGATAGTATTCTAAGATTGAGGATTTATATTAGACATATAACGTGTACTAAATAGTATACATATGCGTAAATGATATATTCACTTTCCTACCTCATGTATTTTTGTATTTAAATATGTCGTCTGCTGCTTCTGTGCCTAGGTCACATAGCACATAATATTGAAGGAGCCCCTGCTACGTGCCAGGCTTGGGGCTAAGTGCCATCAAAGCAGATGTGGCCCCCAAATGTCACGACTGGATCCTTTGTGGGGTGGGCTGGTCGTAGGAGCCGAGGTGTGCGGGATGCGACGGCGACAATGATTTGCATGCAGTATCCGGCACGCGTCCCACAGGCCGCCCGTGTCTGCGTCAGCAGGGGGCCGGGTCAGCAGCTGTGAAGGTCCCAAGTTCAGAGAAGCACGGAGGGTTCCGGGCAGCTAACGAGGCACGGCTCTGAGTGGGAGGAAGCGGGGGTGGCCGGGCTGCCCTGTGTGGGAACCTGCCTCTTTCGAGTTGGATTTTCTTCCTGGGCAGGGGAAGCCTCAGCGTGAGAAGGACGTGCCTGGCGGATGCTTTCAAAGACCAATCCGAGCCCTCGGGGTGGCCACAAAGAGCAGCTTGGACGGTCTGGTTTGGGAATAGAGGCGGCTGGGCCTTGTCTGGGTGTTGTGTGTGTGGAGAAGGCAGGCTGTTTTTGGTTGTCGTGTTGTTTCCCTCGTGGCTTCCCCTGGGGTGGCTTTGGAGGGAGAGAGGGGCAGGGGCAGAGCCTCGGGTCTCCTGGTCACCACCAGGCCTGGGTCAGAGGTCATCGGGAGAGCCAGGGGACCGGACAGGCTGACCTGTCTCCCGCGGCCCAGGCTGCTTGGGGACGGAGGCCTCCTGACGGCCGAGGGCCTGGCGGTGACACTGTCGGTGGGGACGGTGGGCCTGAGCCGCGGGGCTGTGCGAGGTGGGGGCTGGGGAAGTCTCTTGGAACTGAAAGCGTAGCTGAAGGCCGTCCGCCCCCTCGTGCAGGCCTCAGAGAAGAGCTTGCGGGTTCCGTCCACTTCACGCCCCTGGCCGGGGAGCTCAGCCCCTTTGCCGGCTCCTACCAGAAGCCCACCGGCACCATCCATGAGTTTTGTAGGTTTGGGGAGAATTTGGGTGGGTCCGAGGGAGCCCTCAAACTACACAGGATTCCACTACCTCTCTCCGCCCTTCTCTTCCTGCTCCCCTCTCCCCTCCCCTTTCTCTTCCCTCTTGGATCCTGTGCCCTCCTCTTCTGAGCAACAAAAAATCTCTCCTTTCCAACCACGGAGAACTTTAGGGATCCTCACTTATCCCTTGAGCAAGCTCTGGGAATCTGACATCCGCTTTGAACAGCTTATTAAAGCCATTCTACTATCCCCCAATACGCAAGCTTTTATTGAGTGCGCTGATGTGGCATGTAATTTAGAACAAGCTTCATTCGGGGAGCCTGGGTGGCTCCGTCGGGTAAGCCTCCGACTTTGGCTCAGGTCATGATCTCACAGTTCAGGAGTTCGAGCCCCGCGTCGGGCTCTGCGCTGACAGCTCGGCCCCTGGAGCCTGTTTCAGATTCTGTGTCTCCCTTTCTCTCTGCCCCTCCCCTGCTCGTTCTCTGTCTCTGTCTCTCTCTCTCAAAAATAAATAACCGTCTTAAAAAATATTTAAAAAAAAAAGAACAAGCTTCCTTCGTCTTGTGCGATAAGTTTGCGAAAGATGCATGTATTGAAAGTAATTTTATTTTGCCTTTTACTTAAATTGTTTTACAAGTTATACTTTTTTGGTGGGAGTGGACACTTTATTTGCAAAAACTTGATTCGTTAGTATTCTATCACATTATTTTTATTAGTATTATGCTTCTGTCAGAGTGAAACTTTGTTAGTAGCTTATAATTTTATTAGTGTTCATCGCACATGCCATTATTATCTCTACACGTTATTTCCCTGTGTTGTTAAAACCTATCATTTCAACGTGGGAACCATTTTTGATTTACCTTTGAGAAAAGCTCCCACTAATTGGTGCTAATGAGTGTTGGCTAGTGACACGATTTTGGAAAGTAAGCAGTGGACAGGGTCCATAGCACATGCTACTGACTCTGTTCTAAGATGTGTCATACTTTCTTTTTTTTTAATTTTTTTTTTAATTTTTTTTTTCAACGTTTATTTATTTTTGGGACAGAGAGAGACAGAGCATGAATGGGGGAGGGGCAGAGAGAGAGGGAGACACAGAATCGGAAACAGGCTCCAGGCTCTGAGCCATCAGCCCAGAGCCCGATGCGGGGCTCGAACTCCCGGACCGCGAGATCATGACCTGGCTGAAGTCGGACGCTTAACCGACTGCGCCACCCAGGCGCCCCTTTTTTTATATATTTTCTTTTTTAATTTTTTTTTTCAATGTTTATTTATTAGATGTGTCATACTTTCTATTTGGTAATATACGTCTGTTTCATGGAAAAGTCACAATTTAAAATTGAAAGTTGGAAAATTCATCTTAAGACCGTTCTACTTTTTTTTTCCCTCCCCTTTCAAGATTAATGATCTCAAGGGTCTTCTGAAAGAGATTGCTAATAAAATCAAATAGAACTTCATGGACTCTAATGGAGAAAAATCTAATTACAGCAAGGTAAGTCATTTTAATGGGTTATATTTTTGTTCTGAAAATTTACATATTTTAAGGCTAATTTAAAATCGTGATTTTTTTATGCTAAGTGAAATAAGTCAGAAAAGACTGATATCATATTTTGCTCATATGTGGAATTTGAGAAACTTAACAGAAGACCATGGGGAAAGGGAAGGGGGAGAATAGTTTCAGAGCGAGAAGGAGGCAAACCATGAGATTCTTTTTTTTTTTTTTTTTTTTTTTTACATTTATTTATTTTTGAGAGACAGAGAGAGACAGAGCGTGAGCAGGGGAGGGGGAGAGAGAGAGAGAGTGACACAGAATCCGAGGCAGGCTCCAGGCTCCGAGCTGTCATCACAGAGCCCGATGTGGGGCTCGATCCCACGAACTGTGAGATCATGAGCTGAGCCGGAGTCGGATGCTTGACCGACTGAGCCATCCAGGCGCCCCCAAACCATGAGATTTTTAAATACACAGAACAAACTGAGGGTGGATGGGGGGGAGGGTGGGGGAGAGGGGGAAACGGGGGATGGGCATTGAGGAGAGCACTTGTTGGGATGAGCCCTGGGTGTTGTATGGAAGTGATGAATCATGGGAGTCTACTCCGGGCGCCAAGAACACACTTTACACGCTGTATGTTAGCCAATTTGACAATAAATTATTCTTAAGAAATAAATAAATAAAATAAAATCATGATATTTTTTCCGGTTCTTTTATTTTCCTGTGTCATCAGATTTGAAAATGATGCACTGTTACCAAAATTCAAACAACGTAGGGATATAGGAAGGAAGAAGCGAAGCCTGGATTCACATTACTTTTGCATCAGTGATGCTCTGCCACAGAGGTTAGCGCTGGCAGCGATAGGGTGCAAATGTCCTTTTGAATCTCCGAAAGTGACTTACAAACGATGTAGCTCTTTTGGCATTCATCGAATCAAGGCCCCCCCCGTTCAAGACTTGGCATTTTTCCTTGCTACTTAATTCTCTTTTATGGATATTTTTATGGATCGGTGCCTAAAACGTGTACCTTATTCTCATGATACACTATACATGTGTATTACTGTGCGATAGACAAATGTATGCTGGTCATGTTTTTCCTACCAACAAATGTTTTAGTGAGCCATCCAAGGCTTTTCAGCCATAGCTCAGTTGCACGGTAAACATGTAATTCAGGGAACTGGCAGTTGAACCCAAGGCTTTGCTCCGTGATCTTACCGTTTGCTTCAATATTGTGTTTCCATGGCCTGTCCACCTTCTGAACCTAAGTGTTAAAATGTTAACATGGAGATATAGGAAAAAACAGCAGTGGGGATTCCATTTGGCTAGAATTTGTTGAGAAAGTGTATTGCGAGGAATGGAAACACAGTTAAGGTTTCCTGACTCCCTCTCCCTCTTCTTCCTTCCATCCTCCCTTCCTTTCCCTTCCCTCCCTTCCCTTACTGTTTACTGAGTGCCCATGAACTTCTCACAGATGTCCTGTGTCAGGATCTGTGCTGAGGCTCAGACACTGATTACAGGCTGTGCATTAAACACTTACACTGTAAAATTTCTCATTGCGGATTGTGTTACAGGGGAAATTGTGTCGCGTTAGGCTCCTTTTGATATTTCTGGTCACTCCATACTTTCCCTTGGGTTCTGACAATTATGGATCGTATATGGAGGACTTTGTTAGAGCAAGACGGCACGTCGTATACAATCGGAAAGGCATAGAGCCTTAGCAGCATAAAGCCTGCTTCTCTCTCTACCTCTCTCTCTGTCCTCCCCTGCTCATTCTCTCTCTCTCTCTCTCAAAATAAATAAACATTAAAAGAAGGAAGAAAGAAGAAGAGGAATATATGAGAAAACAGAAATCCTATAAATTCATCACCACTGGTATCTTTAGAAACAATGAATTTGGCGTGCCCAATTTTTTTGTATATTTTTTTTCTTTTCAATATAAGACCCGTTTTCTTTTCTTTTTTCTTTTCTTTTCTCTTATCTATCTGGCATATCCTTTTGAAGTTCACTGAAAGTGTAATTTTATAGGCAACCATCTACATGCTGCTAAAGCATTATTCTTTTTTTTTTTAATTTTTTTTTTCAATGTTTATTTATTTTTGGGACAGAGAGAGACAGAGCATGAACGGGGGAGGGGCAGAGAGAGAGAGAGAGGGAGACACAGAATCGGAAACAGGCTCCAGGCTCTGAGCCATCAGCCCAGAGCCTGACGCAGGGCTCGAACTCCCGGACCGCGAGATCATGACCTGGCTGAAGTCGGACGCTTAACCGACTGTGCCACCCAGGTGCCCCTAAATTTTTTTTAATGTTTATTTATTTTTGATAGAGACAGAGCCAGAATGTGAGTGGGTTCGGGGCAGAGAGACAGGGAGACACAGAAGCAGAAGCAGGCTCCAGGCTCTGAGCTGTCAGCACAGAGCCCGACGCGGGGCTCGAACTCACGAACCGTGAGATTATGACCTGAGCCGAAGTCAGACGCTCAATCGACTGAGCCACCTAGGCACCCCTAAAGCATTATTCTTGTAGTGTCTCTCTATACTTCTCTCTCTGGGGGGGGGGTGGCGGTAATCTTTTTGGGGGGAAGGGCAAGGAAAGAGAATGCAGCTGCAGGTGGGAGTGAACTGGCTTTGGTAGGGGCAGGTCTTCACCAACTGGCCCGTCTAGGCTCTCCATCCCCAAGTTGATCCAGTAACTTGGAATAGAATCAACAGATGGCTGTACAGCTATTTCCCTTTGTCGCACACTAAGGTTGAAAGGAATTAGGAACTGGGGACAGCGGAAAGCCATTCGTTTTCTCAGACCTTTGCACTTAGAGTGGACCCGAGGACCCGAGGGTTGAGGGGGAAAGGCAGTCACCGGAAATGGTTTGATCCCTACACAATAATCCATTGATTTTTGCCCTTGCTACACCGAAATTCTAGGTCAGTGAAAGAATGTGACGTTCCCTGGGGGATCACGACAAAACTTTATTTCAATAAGTTGTTGAAGTTTTTAACTTTATTTTCCACTCACCCTTTTATTTTTAAAAATTATTTATTATTAGCGAGAACATGAGAGAATCTTTTTTTTTTTTTTAATGTTTACTTTTGAGAGACAGAGTGTGAGCAGGGGAGGGGAAGAGAGAGAAGGAGACACAGAATCCGAAGCAGGCTCCATGCTGTCAGCACAGAGCCCGACGCGGGGGCTCGAACTTACTAACGCAAGACTGTGACCCGAGCCGAAGTCGGATGCTTAACCGACCGAGCCACTCGGGGCCCCAGAGTGAGAGAATCTTAAGCAGGCTTCACGCCCAGTGTGGAACTCGATGCGGGGCTCAATCCCGTGACTCTGGGATCCCGACCTGAGCACAAATCAAGAGTCAGACGCTCAACCGACTTGAGCCACCTAGATGCTCCTTCAATTCATCCTTTTATTAGTGGAAAACCACTCGTGAATAAAGCACTCAGAACCATTCTGGGTCTTAACCTGGGCTGAGCTGAACCTCTGTCACTCACCTGTGGTCATTGTGTCCTCATGGCAAACTGGTCAGAACTCACACCTTTAAGAGAAAAAAAAAGAAAGTGGTCTGGTAGCCAATTCAGTACCAAAAGAAAATCCATGTTTGGAAGTGTATTTGGACCCATGACCAGTACGTTACCAGTGAATTTAGAAGCACATCGTCTCCTGAGAACGGAAGTGGGAAATCCATTCCTAAAACGGTGCTCTTTCTCTGTTTCACAGGTGATCTCAGAAATCTACGTGGGAAAAAGTCAAGTGCTGATGAACAGTTTTGTTACTGAGGACTCAGTAAGAACTGTTCAGGCCCGGGGTACCGAGTAGACGGCTTTAATCACCCCAGTGTGCTCAAATCTGAGAAACGGACGTGTGGTTGGCCTCACACAGGAAGACGGGCACTAAGGAAGAACTTCCCCTCAAGGCTGCCCGGTTACTTCCTGAGTCTCGGTCCCGCGGACTTGCTGTGTGATCGGAGTATGATCCTGAACCCCCCCCATCTTCCTTCGATTTCCCTACTTCTGACCCCCGCGTGTTGCAGAATATGTCTCCCGGGAAGAAGAACCCGGTCGTGCGTTCCCTCCTGGACGGTTGGTTTGTTTAACTCAACTGATCCCCGGCTATTTCCCTTTGGGGAATATGTGACTAGTTAGTCGGCGTGTCGTTCAAAAGTCTCCCCAGTCAGGGCAGATTCTAAAACCTGCCAGGACCAGAGGGGCCCGCTCTGCTCAGGAAAGACTGTTCTCACTTCTCATTATGCTTTTTATCTCTCAGCGGAGGTGATGTAGCAACGTCTTACCCTCTTACCCTCACCAGGAGCCCCCCATTCTTAACGGTGTGAATAATCACCCAAAAGTGGGACCTTAAGAGGTACCCCTGATTTTGTTTTCAGTGGAGGCTCCTTTCTCCTCTTTCTTCTTCTCCCGGTAAAGATAATTCATGGATGTTGTAGAAACTTCAGACGACACAGACAAGTAGAGAGACTATAAATACTCCTGTTAGTGGTTCAGGATAATCGCTGCTAACATTTTAGGAGGCGTTTCCAAATCTGTTCTCCTCTATGCATGTTTTATCTATCTTTTAAAATTGCACATGATGTCATCACACTACATACACGATTCTGTATAAGCTGTTTCACTGAGTATTTTATCAAGGATGTTTTGTTACGTTCCTGGTCTTCTAAAACATTATGTGAATAATGGCATAATATACAACCTCCGGTGATTTCCGTAACGCTGGTCGTTGAAGGCTGTTTCCAACTGGTCAGTGGGACAGGCATCTTGGCGTATGAATCTTTTTCTGCACTCGGGAAATTTTCCCGTGGCTGGATCCGCAGGAGTGCGTATTTATGATCAAACCATTTATGAGGCTTTTTTCATAATTGTAGAGCAAATAGGAGTTATTAACTTTCGTCTAAGTTGCAAGATCCATGAACTTAGAACTCTTTAACATAAGACATTATATTTAACCCTT